CCTCACCCTCTCACCTCTCCCGCTCCCTCTGCTTCTCCCTTTCCCTCTGTCTCTCTCTGTCTCTTCCTCTCTCACCATTCCCCCCAACCCACGGTTCATGTGGCCGGGCCTCCATCCTGGGTGGACGTGCACGTGACTTGGAGGCTGCTCACCGGATGGCCTACGCAGGTCGTGTAGCCATATTTGAGCCCAAGCGTCCGCACCTCCCAGCGCGCGTGGGGCCTGGGGTCCGGGGTGCGTCTGCGCTCTCCTGGGTTGGCGCCCTGCGCTCAGGGAAGCAGAAGCTGCAGGTCTCCACGGGCTCTGGCTGCCCGCCCCCCGCGCTTCCAGCTTCCATCCAGTGATCTGTGAGGGAAGGGGAGAGGGCATTGACCTTGGTCAGGATCCCTCCTCCTCCCAGACACAATCTGCACGGTGGTGGGTTGTTGCGAGATTGCAATCCCTCCCTCAGACCTTGCACCCGGCTTGCCCTCTTCCACCCAGCTTGCTGCCAGTGGCGGCTCTCCTTCTGCTTGGGGGAGCCTGTGCAGGAGCAGGCTTTCACACCCTGGCTGACATTCTGCCTGTGCTCCCAAACCCCCAAGAAGACCACCTCCTCCAGGGTTTAGCTCTACATCCTGAGAAACCCCCCAGGTTCCTGCCAGCCTGATAGCCATCATCCTACACCCACTCTTCCTCAGTGCTCCCATCTCTTCTCACCTTATGTTTGAACCTGATTTCAACAACACAGGTAAAAAAAAAACTGCAGAGATTTGCCTCAGACTTCCCCCAGGAAGATCTGGCCAAACGCTCCATTTAGAAGCAGCAGCAATACCAGGACAGAGGGATGGCTGGTGGCTTGTCCCACAAGCAGTGAGAAGGCGAGGATCCCTATTTCATGCTCACCATTGAAGGACTTGGCCTGGGTCTGACACGGCCCCTGGGTGGGCTGGCAGGAGAACTGGTCTCCTCTTCTCTTGAGAAAGCAGGCCATGGCCAGGAGAAAGCAGCAAATGATGGCACCAAGGCAGAGCCCCAGCGTGCTGTAGACTAGGGCCACCTGATCAGCGCTCAGCTTCAGCCCTGGGGGTGCTGCAAGACAGTGGTGAGGCTCTGAGCTCAGGAGGGAACTATCACTGCTCAGAACCCTTCTCTGAAGTCCCTCACCCCTAAGCCAGGAGCCCCTGCCCCACAATCATTCTTTCCCCTCGTTAGGCCCTAAGAAGCTACATGGCCATCCCCACACCCTCTTGGAGGGCCTTGCCCCAAGCTCCTTTCTGTTGTGAGTCTGTCTGGCTCTTAGAGAAGTTGGTTCCCTTCCTCACCCTGAGGCCTGACTAACATGCTCTCTGGACCCTGGAGAAAATCAGGCCCCTCTACCCTAGGCTGGTAGCAACTTCTTCCAGGACCTCAGAGCGGGACACATCTGAAGATGGCTCTTTTTGCTGTCTCCACTTGCTATGGGGATGTAGAATGGGACAGTGCCAAAGGTAGATGGACGAATATTTGGACAAATGAATGAATAATAGTCCAGGGAGGATGTCTCTGTCTGTCCTGACCTGGGCCTTCCTCTAAGGAGAAGCCTTCCTGGGAGAGCACACACTTTGAGAGTGAGCCGGATGTGCTTGCTAATGAGTCTGGGACAGCAGGTGTAAACCAGGAGGGCCCTGGGAAATGGGCCTTCAGTTACTTTACTTCTCAGGGCCTTGAGCCTTTGCCTTAGATGCTAGAGGAGGACTCAGCCAATGGCCAAAGCCCTCCCCTTGAAATTTCTCCTCATTCCAAGCTCTTCCTGGGCCCTGGAATTGGGGTACACATTAATCCCTGAGATGGAAGGACAGATGAGCCTGAGCTAATATAATGTGTATGTAATATACTCATGATGTGGATGACCTACTGAGGCCTCACTGTGTACAGGCACTTCCTACAGTGTAGTGTCTCCCTCAGTCCTACTTCTGGGAAGGATGATAGATTATCCCCATTAAAAAACTGAGATATAATTCATATGGCATAAATTTATCATTTAAAAATGTAGAGCTCAGTGGCTTTTAGTACATTCATGAGGTTGTACAGCCATCACCACTATCTGATTTGAGGCCAGTTCTATTGCTCAGATACCCACTAGTAGTCACTTCCCATCCCCCTCCCTGGGCCTTGGCAATAACTGCTCTACTCTCTGTCCCTGTGGATTTGCCTATTCTGGACATGTCATATGAATGGATTCAGACTACAGATGACCTCGTGCGGCTGGCTTCTTTTACTTAGCATGTTTTCTAGGCTCTTCCATGTAGTGGGTGTCAGGACTTCATTCCTTTTTGATGGTTGGATAATACTTCATTGCAGTCATACCACATTTTGTTTAGCCATTCATCTGTCAAGAGACATTTGGGTTGTTTCCACTTTTTGCTATTATGAATAAGATTGCTAGAGAAATCTGTGTACAAAATTTTGTGTGCATGTAGGTTTTCAACTTCCTTGGGTATATATACCTAGGAGTAGAATTACTGAGTCATATATTAAACTCTATGTTTTTGAAGAACTGCCAGTTTTCCACTGGGGCTAGAAAACATTCCATTTTACAAATGACAAAACTGCCTCCTTTTCTTCACCTCCACTTGTCCACCCTCTTCTCTCTGGTTTCTGCTCCCAATGTCCTATCAAGCGGTTGTCCCTGAGGGCCTGGGTCCAGAGACCTCTGCTTCATGCCTGGGAACAAAGAGGAGCATGAGGCTGCCTCCACTGTGACATCAGACACTGAAGTCAGGGTAATGGGGCTAAGTGGAGGGGGAATGCAAGAGAAACAACACTTCATACACTGAAATAAACAAACAAAAAGCCAACAATAAGGGATGCCCAGTTCAGCAACCGTTCCCAAATGGAAGGAAACTTTGAGCAATTCCTGGCCTAAAAGCAACATTATCTCAAACCTGCAACATTGATCTCTGACTTTTATGACTGCAACCCTGGCAAACAACAACAACAACAACAACAACAACAACAACAACAACAAAAACAGCTGTTTCTCATCCTGCACAGATGACCTGCAAACTGTTTAACCTTGGTGGTGTTTCTTTTCCTCAAACATCTGTTGTGCTTCCTGCCTGGCAAGCCAGTCCTCCAGGTCTGATCGCCTGTGCCTTTCTCTTCCTGGTGAGGGTGCCCCGTATCTTGGTGCTCTCCTGTCCCACTGGACACTGTCAACCCCTGGCTCCTCCACATCCCCTCCTCTGGCTTCAGGTCCCACCACCTGCGATCTTCCCATAGGGCTCTGGGCCCAGGCCATGCACCCTGAACCGGTTGGGGAACAAGTGGGACTGAAGGGCTCCATACTGCACATTCCTATCTGGTGGAAATTGGTTAAAATGGATCCATGTACATTAGGGGACTGATAGATGATGAAGCTAAATGGGGAAGGGAAGAGAAAGGGACCTTGAGGGAGGGGTTTTCTACCTGTAGGGGTAGGAGAGCCTGCCACCCCTGCCCATTTCCTTTAGTCGAGGGCTGCCTCTACCTGTAGATGCCTGAAAGTGGCCTGTCATAGGGTCCCCCAACCTCCTTGTGGCCAGAGCTGATGGACATTTGCACTCTTTTCTGTGGTGTTACTAACTCCTTCTAGAACTTTCCTCCTTGTTTGCCTTCATGAACACACAGCTCTTCAGGCTCTTCTCCTTTCCAGCATCTCTGTGGACCCTCTACTGACCCTTGGATGCAGATTCTCCCACATAGGGTTTCCACCTCAGTCCTTTCTCTCCTCACACCTCCTGTAACCTTTCCCATACTTGTGACCACAACTGCCATCTTCTAGGCTAATGAAATCCAAGTTCTTCAAGTGAGATGTTTCCCAGAGCTCTGTCCCATGTGGTGGTCCCAGCTGCCCCCATGGCTGCCATCACCCTCCTGTGAGAGAACCCAACAGTTCAGAGCTGTTGGATTCCCTCTGCCTAACACCCGCCCCAAAGACATGTCCCCTTATAACGTGCAAATACAACCTTATTTGGAGAGAGAGAGAGAGAGACTTTGCAAGTGTAATTAAGGGTCTAGAGATGAGATCATCTTGGATTAGAGTAGGTCCTAAATTCAATGACAAGTGTCCTTAGAAGAGACGAGAAGGAGAGAAGACCGACACAGGCACACAGTAGAAGGCCTGTGAATACAGTGTGATGTAACCATAGGCCGAAGAACCCCTGGAGCCTCCAGGAGCTGGAAGAGGCAAGGAAGGATCCTCCTCTAGAGCTTGGAGGGAGTGCAGCCCTGCTGACACCTTGAGAGCAGACTTCCAGCCTCCAAACTGTGAGACGATATGTTTGTGTTATCTTAAGCCCCCAGTTTGTGGCAAATTACAACAGCTTTGGAAGCTAACACAGCCTATCCAAAGAAAGGACCCAAATTCTGCTCCTCCCATCCACAGAAGCTGCTGTCCCATAAATGTCAGGTGTGGTCCTATACACTCAAAACTCATAGTGATTTAGGCCTCATGAGGGCCCTGTGGGACAGTCAGGCACAAGTGGGCCAGAAACTTCCCAGGTCACTCATGGAGGTGAGGCTGGAGTCCAGGTGCAAGCAGTCTGTTGAGGGCCCTGCTTGTAACACCACCGAAAGTTTGTAACTTGGAACCCTAGGGGACCCATGGATAGAGTCTGGGGGCTCCGTGGACTTGGATAAGAAAAGCAAATCTTTGTTTTCAACGGTGACCAACTGAAATTTTGCCTTTGCTTTCCCTGTATGCAGAAGACACAACTCCCAGTTGTATGAGCAGTGACTATGGCTTTGTCAAGAGCAGAATCACACGTATTTCCATATCCTACTGCAGTGATTTCAGACAGCCCAAAATGTCTGTGCTCACTGAAATCACTGTCTTCATCTAGCCCACCATTCCATCTTGTTATTTGATAGAGAAGAATGTAGATTCATTCTAATGTCGCTGCAATTTGTGCAATATTTTGGCGATATTTATTTAATATTTAATATGCTTTAATATTTTGACAGTATCTCAACATCATTGGTTTCTATGTAACCATGTGCTGTGTTTGATGCAGTTTATAACATTACTCCAAGAAAGGGTTCATGGGTTCCCAGGGCCAATGTGTCATGGGGGCTGGGTGACCTTGCTGTGTGTGTTGCCTCCACAGCTGACCCAACATGAGGGCCTTTCCACCCCACCAATCCTGTGCCAATGCACCACCCCTCTGCCTCCATCTCGGGTCCTTGTCATCTGTGGCCTCCGTTATTGCCAGAAACGGCCTCTCACAGGGTCCCTGCTGCCATGGCCACTATACATCCCCTGGAGGCAATAGGGATCTCCCTAAGGCCTAGTTTAGGCTTCTTGTCCCATGGCTGCCCCCTGCCTCCAGAAGTGTGTCAGTCTTCCCAGTCTGATAGACAGGGCCCTCTGACATCTGGCATCTTATCCCTCCCAGGGCCCTCTCCAACCATCCTTGTAAGCTAGCCATTCCCATCTCAGTCCTCGGCTCCTGTCCACAAGGGTACCTACAGCCCCTGACCTGTGTCCGTGGCATTCTTCCTGTTCTGGGGTGCAGCCAGCAGCCCCTCCCTATGCAGTCTCCTTAGGGAGAGGCAGAGGGTCCCTCTACCATGCCCCTGACCCCTGGCAGGGAGCTCATCTAGTAGGCCTGGAATCAACTACTTGTCTGTCTCCCTGGAGTAAACAGTCAGACTACATATTTTGATGTTTGAGTCTTCCTCCTTTGCCCCACATTTGGGAAAGCTGGCAGGAAATCCTGAGTGCTCCCTCCTTTGGTGCTCACAGGAGATTCAAACCATGTAAGTCGCTCCCACACATGGGGACACTCACCCACTGAATCCCCAACCACAACGAAACCACAGACTGGGTTCCTTCCCGCTCTCTTAAGCCATTTTCAGATAAGCTTGGGAGGCTGCCCTGCGCCTACCTGAAAGCCTCATTATGTGAGTCACTAGCCTTTCCATATCTTCTTGGCCAGTAGGTGGCATCATCAGTCTCGACATCCAAAAATTTGGATAGGGGTCCCTTCTGCCTCTGTAGAGTGGCCACCACGCTCTCCCAGTCGGGGACTCCCTGATGCAGGGGTTTAGTCTTCTTCTCCTTAGGTCCC